CTCTCTCTCTCTCTCTCTCCCTGGCAATGCAAAGAAAAAAAACAGACGACAGCAAAGAAAAAAAACAGACGACAACAACGGCATCTCTCTCTCTCTCTCTCTCTCTCTCTCTCTCTCTCTCTCTCTCTCTCTCTCTCTCACAGAAAAAGGCTATTTTTACCTTATCCTTCAGAAAAAAAGCAATGTTTTCCTATCCTTCAAGAAAAGAAAACTACCTTACCCTTCTGAAAAAGAAAACACTACTTTTTCCTATCCTTCATAAAAAAAGGGATATTTCAGAACAAGCTTCGAGTTCACATAGGGAGTGACTGTAACAGCTGCTCAAAGGTGGAACACACTAGAAACGTACCGGCACATATTTCACTGAGTGAGGCCGCACCTGCTCAGGCTCTTCTTCTCTGTTTCCTGTGCCCCATCATTTGCCAACAGGCATGCAGAACTAAGTGCAGACACGAAGAGCTAGAAAGGCAAGACAGTGAAGGGACAAAAGCCAAGGGGAACAGACAAATAAAGGAGACAAGGTTGGCAGGGAGCAAGCGAGAGAGCGAGAGAGCCAGAGAGAGGCCTTACACCCGAATAGACCACCAGGTCCTTAACGGTGTATGTAGACTGCAAGTCGCCCCAAATACATCAGCCATATTGACCGGGCGTTCTATTCGGGTGAAGACGGTAGTTGCAGACTAGTTGCACAATAGTTGCACAGTAGTTGCACAGTAATTGCACAGTAGTTGCACAAAACACAACAAGGGCCGGGATTGCCACTGGGGATCTTCGTCCGGGAGCACTGCTTTTTTTTTTCATGTTCTTTTTTGGGGAGGGTTACTGAATATCTGTATTATGTCGAGACTTTTTTCAGGTTTTTTTTTTTTGGGGGGGGGGGGGGGGGGGGGGGGGGGGGGGGGGGGTGAGGGACTTCTTCAGTTTCACGGCTCTCACTGGATTTATTGTCAATGGATTTAAAATTTGAAAACCATCAAGAATGGATCCCATGCTCCTCCTTTTGCAGCTTATCCAGTCAAAGCTGCTGTCAAACTGAAATTCATCTCCACATATTCCGTAATTTTGTTTAAATTGTTTAGTAATAAGACATACAAGTGATATAATAATAATGTCCAAATCATTATGGATGAAAGTTATCATAAAAGAACGAAAATTCAATAATGAATACCAACAAATGCGACCCTGGAAGAGACGTACGAACAAGCAGCATTAGGAATACGCAAGCATAAACACTGTCAGGCTGGGGCATATAGAATCCAGTGTCATCACTATCATCATCGCCTATCATCATCAGCGTATATCATCATCATCATCATATCATCATCTATAATCAATCATATATCATCATCACCTATCATCTATGATCATCATCGTCATCATCATCGTCATCATCATCATCATCATCATCGTCATCATCATCGTCATCGTCTATCACCATCATCATCGCCATCATAACACTATCGTATCATCATCTGTCATCATCATCATCATCATCATCAATCATCATCAAACATCATCAATCATCCTCAATCGTCATCATTAGATCATCATATTATCATCTGCCATCATTACATCATCATCTGTCATCATCATCATCATCATCATCATCATCATCATCATCGTCATTTCATCAACTGTTATTTATCACCATTTATCTTCATCAGATCATCATCAGATCATCATCTATCATCAGCTATCATCATCAGCAGCAGCAGCAGCAGCAGCAGCAGAAGCCCCATTAGAAGCTACCTTCTTGGGGGCAATTCCTGGTCTGAGTAGGCATATCCTCGAAAACCCTAAACCCCAACTCTCCATATCCTCAGACAGAGCGCGGGATGACAGAAGAGGGAGGGTAAGCTGAAAAGGGAGAAAGAAAAGAGGATCAAACACCGACGAGGTCGAGGAGCAGTAGACGGAGACGAAGAGAAGGAAAGAACCCAAACCATATGCGTCAAGAACGCCTTGTAGACATCATTAAGCAATTGTAAACATCGAGCTATTCGCCGCCATTTTAAAAAAATGGAAAGGAGAAGGAAACGAGGAGGAACGCACGTAGATTATATAGCCGATAGCCGATAGCCAATAGCCAATAGCCAATAGCCAATAGCCAATGGCTGATAGCTATAACCGGCAATCGTTGTACACAATCCGAAAGCAGAAGGAAACGAGGAGGAACGCACGTAAATACGGAAGAGGACTGAGCGAGGAAAGAGAAGGGGGTGTTTGCGGGGGGGAGGAGGAGGAAGGAGGAAATGAGGTGTGGTCAACCGACCGCGCCTGCCTCTGAGAATGTCCTTCCTTCCTTCCTCCCTGTTGTCCACTCCGCACTACCGTCTTTCCCCGAACATAACGCACCCTCATTATGGCAGTATCGGACCCGAAAGATAGCTTGCGTACATTCATTACTAGGGTGCGTTATGTTCGGGGGAATAATCCAGTAGCGCGATAAAAATCCAGCGAGAGAAAGGGGAGGAGGGGACTGTGGATATCCCCGCCAAATGTCCAAACAGAGAAACATAGTTGGCAAGAAGAGAGTTGGCGGGAAGAACGGAGAGGCGACGAGACAGTTGGCGGGAAGAACGGAGACGGGAAGAGACAGCTGGCGGGAAGAACGGAGAGGAGAAGAGACAGTTGGCGGGAAGAACGGAGAGGGGAAGAGACAGTCGGCGGGGAGAACGGAGAGGGTAAGAGACAGTTGGCGGGAAGAATGGAGAGTCTTTTTTTTTTTTTTTTTTTTTTTGAGAGGACCAGGTTTTCGATGACACTGCTTCTGTCCGACAAAGGAAGAAAGGAAGGAAGGGCGCGGGACCGGGGGGGGGGAGGAGGGGGAGCGCGCGACGGATAAATTGGGCGACGGAGAGAAAGGAAGGGAGGGAGGGAAGCGGCGAGATCGTCATGACCCAGATTAGGGAGAAAAAAAAAAAAAAAACATCGACGGAGAGGCGGCAGCAGCAGCAGCAGCAGCAGCAGGAGAGGAGACGGCACGGAGGAAGACTGAGGCACAAAAAGGAATGGCAGGCATCGAGGAGCGAGGGGGTCGATTACCCTCTTCACCCGAATAGAACGCACATCGTACAGTCATGATGGCGGTATTCAGCGATAATGACCGGGCGTTCTATTCGGATAAAGAGGGTTTAGGGGAGAAAAGGCGGGAAAGGAGAGGGGGAGAGGAGGAGAGGGGGGGGGGGCAGGAAGGACAAATGAAAAGAACGGGGAAGAAGAAGAGGAGGAGGAGACGGCATGCACAGCTGCTTGTATGCATACTCACAACCTTCTTCTTCTTCTTCTTCTTCTTCTTCTTCTTCTTCTTCTACCACGGGATCTGGCTGTAATCGCGGCCAGATGCATTTTCAAAAGTCCTAGTTTGAGTATGCAACTCCACTCCCCTCTCTCTCCTTCCCCCCTCCCAAAAGAGAAAAAGAAAGGGGCGGTAATTGTGGTTTGGAAGTGGTCGAGTCCCGGGGGGATGGATCCAAGTCCCAGGTTGAGCTTTGCCATCGAGCTTCAGTGCTCGAACTAAACATTTAGAAGAATCAGAAAACATAGCTATATACTTGGGAGGTGAGAGAGAGAGAGAGAGAGAGAGAGAGAGCATGTCCTACAAATAAGATGATACGATGATAAGATGTGATATGCTCTCGTACCGGCTGCCGACGCTGGAACAGGCGTCAGTGGGACCCATTTATAGACCTGGATCCTGTCCGTGGCTCCAGACCTGGCCCATTTTTTTTGCCATTTGCGAACCCGCCCTGTAAAGACCGTCACTGGACCATGCCGCGTCGACGATCGGCTACCCATTCGTGTTGTACCGGTGTCCATCTCTGGAGATGGAGATCTAGCGCAGTTGCGCTGCCCTTCCTTAACTCTTCTTCCTCCTTTGTCTCTTCCTGCTCCTTTCTCTCCTCCTCCTTCGTCTTACTCTTCCTTCTATTTCTTCTTAGGTTTTCCGACACCCGTGTGTTTCTTCCTGGCTGATTCTCCTCTTTCCGCCGCCTGCTCGTTCTTCCCTTCCCTATTCGGCGGTTGCCCTCCTCTACTTCCCCGCAAAACTTCCTCCACCATTCATATTTATTTTCCTCTACTCGATCTTCCTCCTCCCTCCTCCTATACGCAACTCCCTCTCTCCTTGTGACTCTTTTTGTCTTTGCGATTCTCTTCTTCTTCTCCTTCTTCTTCTTCTACATTCTTCTCCTCCCGCCGCAACTTCTTCTTCTTCTTCTTCTTCTTTTTCTTCTTCTTCTTCTTCGTCGTCGTCGTCGTCGTCGTCGTTCCCCAGAACTCCTTGGTCTTCTTCTTTACGCCGACCAACACCTTCTTCTGCTGCTGCTGCTTATTTGTCGTCTTCTTCTTCTTCGTTCTCTTTCGCCTTTGGCTCCCTTCTTTTCCTTCTCTTTCTGCTTCTCCTCCCTTTTCTCCTCCTCTTGCCCCCGCTCTCCTGTGTTGGTGGTTACTGAGTGCGGGGCAACGGGTGGTACTCGTTTCACCTTCGAACTGACCGGCGCCAGGTAAAATCAAGGCATACTCACGCGGGGACCTAAAGTCGCAAATATATATTTGAGGCGTTTGACACTCACACCGGTTGACTCTGTCCACAAAGGACTTAGCGGCCCTGCCATTCGCACCTCGTGAAAAATATATAGAGTGTTTGGTTTTTTCTTGGCTCAAATAACACGCACGGCTGTTTTGCTCATGGAGAAAGAAAAAATCGAGAAGGTAATTTGAGATCACCTCTGGAGGAGGTAGGGTCCTCCCACGGGCCCGCAGGTTGCTGACAAACGGGACACGAAAAAGTACATTTGGGTAGCGGGCCTCTCCAATGTGACCCGAAAACTGCCTCAAATTTTGGGCCACATTTCCTCAATACGGCCCTTCCCATTTTCCCATTTTTTTGGGAATTTGGGTACCTAGTGTGAGCGTGCCCTAACACATTCTACAGAACAAGGCTTATCCGCTAACCACCAAGGGACCAGGCCGGTTGCGCCTTGTCCAGTTGCTATCCTATTCAGACCACAGCCATTTGGATACGACCATCTTCCCTTCCAGTGTTACCACTGCCAAACGGTTCTTCTTAGCTCACGCCCGAAGGAACCACAGTCGGGCCTTGACACGCTCCGCTTCTTCTGAGGCCAGAACTTTCCTCCTCCAATCCACATTGATCATGTGGCGGATAGTGGCTTTCATTCCTGACTTCAGGGCTATATCCGAGACGTACCTTCTACTAAACAAAATCGAGTTCCTTTCTTTCCGAATCCACCATACTGCTGTCGCCCGGATAGTCACTGCCACATACCCCCACCCCTTATTGTACGAGAGTGACGGAGGTAGTTTGCCCGTGAGGGCCCAGTCCAGGTCCCATGTGACCTCTGTTGGGCCCCCCATTGCTTTCCAGTGATAAGCCCACCACTGCCAGATTCTCCTCGAGAGGGGGCATGTGCCCCATAAATGTAACGAGTCTTCAATTCCTCGATGGCATCTGACACATCTGGTATCCACCTCCATCCCTCTCTGAAACAGTGCCATTGCATCTAGTGGTGCCGCGTGAGTAATCAGCCAAATAATCGTTGAGCACTTGGTACTGGGTAAACTTCGGCAGACCTTCCACATGTCCTGGTAGTAAGTCACCGTTAGTTCAGTACTTGTTGGGGCGCGTGGATGTGCCGCCTGAATACTTAATGTTGAGCTGCCCAGGCTTCGCTTTAACTGTATTCCTAACCGCGAAGAGTATTGATGGAGTTTCGACCTCCCTCTAGCTCTTGGCCAACCGTACAGACCGATGTCGATACGCATCTGTCTTATAGGAGTTCCATCCATGTATACAACCGGTTGGGTAGGGCCCCGTGCGGAAAAACTCAGATGCACCCGGATTTCTTCCATCTTGCAGCGACCTTGAAAGACCCGTACTCCCTTGAACTTCAAAGAGTCGCGTTTGCGCCCATCCTTCTCTTCTCTTTCTCACTCTTCCACCTGATCCTAGCTCGACTGCTTATGATATTTTTCTTTGTCACCCACCGAGAGGAGTGGGCGGGCCTACCGTCGAATTTGTACCTGTCATCATGTGTTTCCATTCGACAGGAATTGCTGCGATGATCTCCAGTCTCCTGGCTTCCACATGCCAAAGTCTCCCCAAACTCACCCGCAGTGTTGCTGCTGTCTTCCAGTCCGACTGTTGTTCGTCCCACAAGTCCTCTATCCGTAGCACTCCTCTCTCCACCCATGCTCTGCCGAAGTTCCCCTGGCTTGAAATCTGGAATATTGTACCGTCTGCCTTCTTAATCCACGGTTTTTCGAATATACCTCAACACCTCTTCCTTTGTGCGAGGTTCCCTTTAAAAGACTTGGGGTAAGGGACTTCCATGCCCGTAGCACTCCGCCCCAAAATATTGATTTCACTGTGCGGCGTTGGTAGGGCTAGGGTCAAGAGCAGCCACACGTTCTCACCTCTGTTTAAATCCCATTCTTTCGCAAATATATATTCGGCGAGAGCCACCCAACTGCGTTTGTCTGTATCCATAGCAGCCTTCACAGGCCACTTACACAGTAGGGTTGAATTTTGGCGTTCTGGGTCCAAGAGACCGGGACCGCCTTCTCCCTTGTGGCTGACAGCTTGTCCCATGCAAGTTTCGACATGAAACCATGTTGTTCTTTTGCATCAGGTTTCCATATGAGCCTTGTTGCAGATCTTTTAATACCTCTCGTGGTGTTCTTACTCATTTGCCTCATTGATCGGGCATATCACAACTGGGAGAAGACTGTCGCGTTAAGGATCAGAGCTCTCCCGAATAGAGACAGACCATACACGTCCTTCCAAGTCTGAATCCGCCGTTCGACCCGCTCCACCAAAAGTTTGTCTTGCACATCGCCGCAATTTCTAAGGGAAACCTGAACACCCAAGAATCTTTCAGAACAGTCTGCTGGGAGGCTCTTCATACCCAAGTCCACACATAATGAGTATTGGTTGGGCACAAAAAAATACAGATTTTAACCAATTTACCTGTGCCTCACATAAATCACAATAATCTCCTAGAATGTTTGTAACTGTCGCCAGAGATTCTAGTGTGTTCCGTGTTACCACTGTCAAATCGTCTGCTAAAGCGCTGCCCTTAAACTGAATATGACCACACACTCTCTAGTCTTCCACTTATGGATTGTTCCTAACATTGTTTAACAGGACATCCATCTGTAGGACAAACAGTAGTGGTGCCAATAGGCAGCCTTGTCGCAGCGAATGGGTCAGCGGGAAGGCTGCTGAAATTTTTCCGTTTATCATGACTGAGGCGGTAGCCTGGAAGTACATTGCCTTCACCCAGAGACAGAATTGTGGACCGAAACACATGTGCTTCAAGGTTGTTAAAACGAAGGCCCAACTTACTCGGTCGTACGCTTTCTCTAGGTCTAGCAAAAGAATCGCCATGTCAAGATTCTCTTCTACAATTTCTTTTATTGACTCGTCCACAGTTACAATGTTATCCAGAATAGATTTACCATTGACAAAGGCGCCTTTATCAATTCCCACTAAACCGCGTAGGTGATCCACCAGTCTGATGGTCAGTGTTTTGGCCAAGAATTTATACCCCGTGTTTAACAGAGATATGAGGCGTCAATTCTGAATGTTACTTTTGTCCCCTTTCTTAAACATGAGTGCAATTATCCCCTTGGTCATGCATGCGGGCAACTATATTCCTAATAAGATCTCGTTATATATTTCTACCAAATCAGAACATAACAGGTTCCAGCAGGATAGGAAAAATTCAACAGGTAGCCCACCTTCCCCTGGCGCTTTCTCGCCATTTGGCTGGCGGCATGAGTGAGCTCCTCCTTGGTAACCGGCCTGTCCAGGGCCAAGCGTCCTTGATTTGAAGGTCTGGCTTCCATATTAGCCGAGAAGGCAGATGACTTAGTCAGATTCCTGTTCGCCTCTTCCGCTGGTTTGCGGGAGGTCAAAATATCTCTAAAGTATACACATGCATACTCACACATATCATTTGTTTCCATACTTTTCCGCAGGCTGGGGTCAAAAGGGTGAGTCAATTCTTTCATGATTCTTTGCTGGGAGGTTTATCGATTAACAAGTACGAATGTTTTTTTGGACATCCTGTCTAACTTCTCCATGCCCTTTATCTTACACCACTCCTGCCTAATTCTCTGCTTGTTCAATTGAATGGCTTCTCATTTTTCCAACCAACGGACCCTTTCCCTTGCCCAGAAGATGTCTAAAACTAGGTGAGCTCCCATTGATGCCTCCGCCTCTTCAATCCTCTCCTTACACTCCGGTTCTTCTTTATTCTTAAAGAGAGCTTTCATGATTGAAATGACGACCATTCCTTTGGATATGATCCGCAGTCCGGATGTCAGCCACTCGCCTTTGGTTGGGAATTGGTCTTTGGTTGATTGCCATGCCTCGTTTAGTTGTTGGATCCAACACATCACCCCGGGATCTTTCAGATTATCTGTATTCAATCTAAAGAAGTCTCTTTCCTTGCGAGCAAGCAGGGGGTAGTGATTTGGAAGAGGATCCACTACCGTGTCTATTGAAAGCAGCGAGTCCCAAGTCGATGCCCTTACAAACATCATATCCAATCGGCGTTGTTTCCTTGACACGGTTGTTCTCCTGCTCGCAGGGTGCCGGGTAAAGCCATACTCCTCTGGGTGAGTAGCCTGATATGCATCAATGTCCTTGTCCCTCTAATATTACCAGCAAAAGTTTAGCGTCGGAACGGATCGGTCTGACTTCCAACGTATCGAGCCCTGGGTTCAATACCGCGTTCCAATCCCCTACCATGACAAGATTATCTACGTCTGGTACCATGTCTGCCAAATCTGCAAAAAAACGCAGTCTCTCCTGCCGCTCAGACAGGGCGTACACACTCATGAAAGCCCACATTTCGTCCCCTATTATGCCTTTAACCCAGACCCAGTGACCCCAGTTATCGAAACATTCATCTACCCACTCAAAATCTAGATCCCTGTGGATTAGGATCGCCGACCCCCCTCTGGTTACGTCCGCAGGTGCCCACAGCTGTGGGTCGTCCCACCACCGACGAAGTTCAACAATTTTCAGTGCGTTCAACTTCGTTTCCTGCAGGCAAATATCTTGAGCGCGTTGTCAGTGTATCCAAGATTTCAGTCTACAACGCTTATTTCTCCCATTTTTATCTACTAGGCCCCTAACATTCCAGGATGCCACCGAGAAGTTACTCATGGGGCTGGGACATGGTCTGAATGCTTAGGGATGTGACCATTGCCTTTGGGTGCCGCCTGGGTTTTCCTTTGTCCAACTTCCTTGGACTTGGTCCCACGCGAGACCCAAGGTGAGGTGAGACTGTCCCTGAAGAACAGGGAGGACAAATTCCTCCCTTTCAACTTTTTGTTGCATTCTGCAACAAACTCTGCAGGTAAACTCCGTGCGAGATTTGGGTTATCTGTTCGATCAAACTAATGCCCAGAGGCCCACGCCACTCCCTCTTTTTCTAAGACTGGTATGCATCTGGCGGGAGA